CACACACACACACACACACACACACACACACACACACAGATATTTACTACCTTGGTCAGACTTCTTGTTCAATTCAATCTGTGTATTACGCAAAGTTATTTCCAGCTGGTTAAGCTGAACATCCTTGTTTGCACTATCACGTCTCAATTGAAGTAGTTCTTTTTCCAGTGCAGTAGCTTCAGCTTTGCACTTATCCATCTCAGTCTTTATTTCTCTAAAAAAAGACAAGCACCGTGAATTACTCATGTAGATACTGATATCTGAAAGATATTACAGCTCTTAATTACAAATGATTTGCAGTACCAGGTACAAGCTTCTGGAAGTTTCTAACAGACAACCGAATGCACAACGCATACCCAGAAATAAAGATACTTAAATAAATCTTAGTCTATTTACAGACTTAAAAATGACCGTCATGCGATGAACCTAACCCTAAGGGCAAAACTGAGAGCTTTGCTTTTTGAAACAAATTAAAACAGAGGCTCATTTTCCAAATAAAAAGTGAAACCAGAATCGTATTTAAAATTTTATAAACAATAACTTAATGAAGAAAATAGTTTTCATAGTATAGTATCTTTCATAACTTCCAAAGCCAGGAGTTTCCATTTGGGGTTCAAGCATCGCGGCGGGTGTCTTAAATGGCATCACATCCACCGCGGCCAGTGGCAAGTTTTCTCACATAATCATCTGCTCATTTCATAAGCAAGCGGGTTCTATGATGACATAAATGGTAAATCACACAAGGATGATGGGCAGATGTTTTTGCCATCATTGGTACCTTACCAGATGAAACCGCAGAGGTGTTTGAGGTGACAGGAGAAGAGCATTTTACTGAGAGCGACCACAAAACCGTATCTTTTAAGATTTGGAAAAGAGAAAAATGGTCTGCAAAAAGGGTTTTGGGTTGAGGGGAAGACAAGACTTGATTAAAATAAGGCAGGATCTGGCCAAAAATAGACGGGGAACAGCTATCTGAAGGTCAATCTACAGCAAAACAGTGGTAGGCGTTCAAAGACTCACTTGGGAATTACAGGTTTCCTTTAGAGTGAAATGTAGGAGCAGGAAAGCCCAGTGAACCATGGATGTCTAGGTATATTCAGAACTAGATAAAAATGAAAACAGATGCATACAGATACAACGGGAGCAAAACAATGAAGGCCCGAGAGGAGTTTAGAAAGTGCAGGGGGATATTAAGAAAGCAATTAGGAGCAAAGAGAGGGCACGAAAAAATACTGATGGGCAAGATTAAGGAGAATCCCAAGATATTCTATAAGTATATCAAGGGGAAGAGAATAACCAGGGAAAGAGGAGGACCCATTAGGTACCAACGGGGCAATCTGTATGTGAAGCTGGAGGACATGGGTAGTGTGTTAAATGTGTACTGCACATCGGTCTTTACTTGGGACAAGGAGGATGCAATTACAGGATTCGAGAAGATGGACTGTGAAGTCCTTGAGCAGGTTGAGAGAAGAACTGAGGTGGCTTTGGGGTGTTTTGACAGATTTAAAAGAGGATAAATTCCCAGGTCCAGAAACGTTGTATCCCAGGCTGCTTTGGGAGACAAGGGAGGAAAATACAGAGGCCTGATCCAAATTTTTAAATCATCTCTGGCCCCAGAGGTGATCCCAGAGGACTGAAGATCAGCTAACGTGGTTCCACTGCACAACAGGGTAATAGAGAGACAGAACAGGGAACTATAGACCAGTGAGCCTAACATCAGTAATAGGGAAACTATTGGAGAAAATTAATCACCATTTAGAGAAGCAAGGTTGATCAGGGATGGTCAGCATAGCTTTATCAGAGGGAGATTATGCCTTACAAATCTGCTTGAATTTTTGAGGAAGTGACCAAGTGTTTGGATGAGGGTAAGGCAGTTGATATGATTTATATGGATTTCAGCAGGGCCTTTGACAAGGTCCCACATGGGAAACTGATAAAGAAGGTAAAAACTCATTGGATCCAAGGTAATTTGGCAAGATGGATCTAAAATTGGCTTAGTAACAGGAGACAGAAAGAGGTGGTAGAAGGCTGTTCATGTGACTGGTGCCCAGTGTACAATGGCATACCACAGGGATCAGTGCTGAGTCTCTTATTGTCTGTGACATTCATAAATGATGTAGTCAAGAATGTTGGGGGCTGTGGCAAAATGCAAGTTTGCAGGTGAAATAAAGACTGGCCTAGTGCTGGTCATTGAGGAGTGATGTGTTAGGGTACAAAGGGAATATAAAACATTTTGGTCAGATGGGCAGATCAGTAGCAGATGGAATTTAACTCTGATAAATGTGAGGTGATGTACTTTGGAAGAAGGAACAAGACAAGGGACTATGCAACCAGTGACAGGGAACCAGACACAAGAAGCTCAGAGGAACAAAGGGATCTTGGGTGCTTGACCACAGATCCCTGAAGGTGGCAGGGCAGGTTAATGGAGTAGTTAAAGCTGCATACGGGACACTTACCTTTATCAATCATGGCACAGATTATTAGTGCAGGGAGGTCATGTTGGTTAGGTTATACCTGGAGTACTGTCAGCAGTTCTACTCACCATGCTATAGAAAGCATGTGATTACACTAGAGTACGTGGTAAGGAGATTCACCAGGATGTTGTGTGGGATAGAGCATTTCAGTTATGGAGACGGGCTGGATAAGTTCAGGTTATTTTCTCTGGAGCACCAGAGGTTGAAGTTGGGTGAGGGGCAGGGGTGGTGGCGGGGTGCTGATAGATTATGAGGGGCATGGGTGAATAGAAAGCAGGTGCTTCTCTTAGTTGAAGGTTCCATAACAAGGGGCATAATCTTAAAGTGAAAGACAGAAGGTTCAGAGAGGATTTGAGGAAAAACCTTTAGAGCCCTAGGATGGCAGGGGGCTGGAATGCACTCTCTAGGATGGTAGTTGAGGCAGGAATCCCCACAACTTTTAAAAACACTTGGCTGAGCACTTAAGTGTCATAACGTGCAAGGTCATTGGCCTAGTGCAGGAAAGTGGAACTAGTGTAGGTAGTATTATATTTTTGGCGGTACAGAGTGGATGATCCAAAGGGCCTCTTCTGTACTGCATGATTCTAATATTTGTAGGTGACACAAACAGTGAAATATAGTAAATGAGGAGGAGGACAGCACACATCAAGTTGACAGACACATGGGAGGTAAAATTCAAACAAAAACAGAAATTGCCGGAACAACTCAGCAGGTCTGGCAGCATCTGTGCAAAGAGAAACCGAGTTAACATCTCAGGTGCAAACACCCTTGTTCAGAATTGGTAAACTGGTAAAATTCAATATTGGGAAGTGTGAAGTGTTATACTTCAGTAGAAAAATCAAGGAAAGGTCTGATTATCTAAATTACACAGTTTTAAAAAGTCTGAGGGAACAGATGTGAGCATCACATATTGCTCAGAGTGCAGTTACGAGTCAACCACATTGTTGTGGGACTGATGGCAGTTTCCTTCCCTAAAGGCATTAGTGAACCAAATGGGTTTTTCCCCAACCTTAGACAATGGATTCATCATTACACCCTTAATTCCAGATGTTTATTGATTTCAAATTCCATCATCTGCCATAGTGAAATTTGAACTGGATCCCCAGAACATTACTTGAGTCTTTCTATATTAACAGTTCAATGATAATACCACTATGCCATTACTTCCACAAGGTGGCAGGCCAGTTGAAAAGGACTTTTTTCTAAAAAAAAAGCTGGGCTTTATTAATAGCATAAAAAGTAACAAAATAAAACTAACATCATAAAAACACAAAAAGGTTGGGTTGCTCTGATAATAAAGGGTCTCAGAATCATGGAAGGTTTTGATATAATAAATAAAGGCAAACTGTTTTCAGTGATAGATCAGTTGGTTATCAATGGGAACAGACTTCAGGCATTTGGCCAAAGAAATAGAGGTTCAGCAAGTTGCGACTCTGAATCCACTGAATCTTTGAGATGGTGGAAGCAGATTTTATCAAATACTTGAAAGGAAAAAATTACCTATGGTTGAAGAGCAGGCAAGTGGCAATAACTGGAAAGCTATAGCGAGCCATTTTACACATGATGGGCTGAATTGCCTCATGTAAGTATCACTGACGTTTGAATAAACAATTCAGATTAAAACATATAAAAAAACAATTATTGTGCTATATAGCAAATTTACCAACCAAGTGAATAATAACTATTTGCATCAGAAAAATATACACCATTAGATATTAAAACATTGTATAAATGTCACTCGATGTAACAATCCATGGTCAACTCAGAGACAGAGTTCAATTCAATTAGGATCATCAGATAGCGGGCTTCTAGGAAAACACAATGCACATTCATCTATTTATTATGTCTATATTTATAAATGTGAAAGTTGCACTTCTGCCAACTTGGTAAATTTATAATTTATTGCTTTTATAAAAATAAAGAGAGCTGGTGCATCAGTTGCAGAAAAAAACAAATGCAGGTTAAAATACTGTTATCACATTAAATGAGTCAATTATCCATGTCTGGGAACCCTAACATTGGACTAGCTTTTCCTCTTGGCAACTGATTGATACCAAACCTACTGGCTCAGTGTTCCGGGCTCACGTCCACATGGATAGAGCTGAAGTTGCTCTTAACGTACTTCCTACAGCACTTATGATGGATTAAATATTCATCCAGGCCCTACAGCGAAAGGACAAATTTGCTAACCCACTGCCTACTTTTCTCAAAGGGTATTGAAACCCACCAAGATCAGGGTGCTATTTAACAACTTGGAAATTAGTACATAAAAGCAGATTGTGAATATTTAAAAACTCAACCTTGTCCTTTCAACACTGGAGAACTACAAGGGCAAAACAACAACAACAATATTTCTGACAGACATTAATCTCCTCTGCCATATAACTTACTTCAAAGTGCTGGTAAGTTCAACCACCTGCAGGTGTTTGGAATCCTGGCCATCATATGCCTTCAAAAGCTTTTCTTCTGTTTTTGAGAGCTCATCTGTATAGGCCACTTTCTGTTTGTATAATTCTTGCTCCAGTTGAGAAACCTATTTCACAAACATAACAGCATTTTATCCCATTATTAAGTGATAAGGTAGCAGTGGAACTATTACTCAGATTTTCAGGGTGAAGTGGTGGAGTAGTGGTAATATCATTGGACGATTGATCCAGAGGCCCAAGCTAATTTTGTGTGAAAAGGGATTCAAATCCCACCATGTAGCTGGTGGATTTTAAATTAGTTAATAACATCTGAAATATAAATCTACTTTATAAGTGACCAGGACAACTGTCACTGACTGTAGTGGAAAACTACCTGGTTTCACTAGTATCCTTTGGGGAAGGAAATCTTCCTTCTTTATCTGCCTGGCTTCCATATGCTCCAGACCCACAGTATTGTGGCTGACTCTTAACTGCCCTTTAATGGCCTAGCCAGCAATCAGTTTAAGGGCAAACGGGGTAGGCAACAAATGCTGGGAAATTCATGAAAGAATAAAGAAAAATTCTCACACAGTAACCATCTTGCAAAGTAACAAACCAAGTAACTTCACTTCAGGCCCATAAATAATGCAGCAGTGAATAGGCCTACCAGGAACAGATTTTGATTTACCTTATACTGGAAGATTCTGTCATTTCTGAACGAAGTCAATTTATAATTCATAAATCGGTGACAAACGTTTAATATTTAATTTTAATACATTCACATGTGGGACCACAGGTTAGATGAAAAACATTCAATTCCTGTTTTGTGAAAATGTTCATAATAATAATGCATGGAGCATTGAGTATGCATGGCATAATAAACAGGGAATATCATATTACGAGATACGGAGGATCTTCATAGAACCTACGGTATGAATAAACACCATTTGCTCCAATCTGTCCATGTCAGTATTTAGCCTCTATCTACCCTGTTCCTACATTACTTGTCTTCCAGTAATCATCTATAAACAGCTATAAACATCTATAAATCATCTATAAAATTATCAACTTCAAAAACTTTAGCCCTTACATTTAATCCTTTATACACCTCGTTGTAGACTCCACATCTGAAGGAAACAGTTTGTTTCTACACTCCAGCTCATTCCTTCATAGCTTGAAATAAATTTATCACATTAATAAAAACAGCCACTAAATTTTCAAGTCTTCCTTCATATTGGTATTTCTTCACACTGATCAATATCCTTGTGAACCTGCATCATAACTTAATATCCCATTATTTAATCAATAATATCCAGACCTTTCTTCTGTCTGCATGATTGTTTACAATTTTATACCTGTCTTCAAATTCAGGTATCACTCTATACCATAGACACACGCAGTACCAGAAGCAACCCGAAACAGAAACCTGTGGCATGCTATTACCTATTTCAATCATTCCAAGAACTTGCCCTTAACTTCAATTCCTTGTTCCTTTCATTTTACATTCCAATGTTCTACTGCACTTTTATTCTGATCTTCTCCAATGGTACCCTGTGTGTCAACTTGCCAAAGGTTATCAGAAGGTCAGTGTACGATTTCAGGACATTTTGCTCTTCCTAACTCCTCAGCACCCCTCTCATTGTTATCCTATGTCACTTTCACGTAGGAATCTACCAGATTGGATGGATGGCTTGGGCTGTGAACACAGTAGTGTCATATATTTTAGAGTGGCAGGAATGTTGACAGCTACAGACATAGCCCCATCTTCAGTGTCTGGTATGCTTCCAATGTTGGATATACAAATTATGCCAGAATAGTTGATCGTCATAATCAGTGACCAAAGAATTGAGGTGTCAATTCAAAGAAAGCATCATGAAGTCAGGTTGGTGGTGGTGAAGAGGTAACCCTGCCACCATATGTGATGAGATTCACACACTGCAATTAATAGCAATGTAGAAAATTGACCACATTGGAGTTCAAAATTAGACATTTCCAGAATAGTTCCACCATGTGTCTGGCATTCTGCATATTCAATGTACAGTGCTTTCTGCCAGCAAGAATAGAAATATGAGCACACCCAGATACTACAAACGAGCATGCCCTTTGCCCTGCTTCATAACTCCAGCACTCTGCTTTTGCAGTTGGGTGCATGCTGCATCCATATATCAAACAGGTCAAAATTCTGGAACTCTCATCCTAGCTGCATCATATGGGTCACAGTAGTTTAAGGCAAAGGCTTGGCACCACTTTCTCGATTGTAATCAATGATGGGCAATAAATGTTGGCCTAGACAGCTACAGCCACATTCAAAGACAGATTCTTTTTAAAAACCTTCATCTTTCCTTTCCATTTATTATAAATCTAACAACATAATCAAAGGGACAGAATTCATAGCAGGTCTCTAGCGAAATGAGAAGTAATTATAATCTGTAGAAGGTGTTATTTTGTTTGAAGTTAGGATTTAATACTTGAGATTTTTCATTGACTCACCTCAAAAACTTGCATGCCTTCTTGCAAGGAAAAACATAGGACAGCAGATTCCATCAGATTACGCTATAGAAATCAAATGGAAAGTATACACTTTGAAAACAATCACCTGTCTTTCTATCATTGTCTGGTGGTCTTCAAGCTCTCCAATTCTATCTGTCCCCTGCTGCAACATTTGTTGATACTGTACCAAGGTCTGCTGAAGTTGCATATTTTGCTCATTACTTTCTTTCAGGTTGATTGTAGATATTTTCAACTGTTTCTGCAGACAAAGTACCTTTCAAAAATAAAATTCAAGAACTATTTACTGTATCCTGAAGGTGCATCTTTACTGAATAACCAAGAAATTATGCCAGTCTTTAGAGCCCCAAGTCCTATAATCATAGAATGATAATGTTACAACTGAAAACAAATATATCTCTCATCCCATCAACTGGGCACTACTTTTCTTCATGAGTCACCCAACCTACTGCCATTCTCCAGACTGTTCTCAATGCAGAATTTAATGTTACTCTTCCACAAAATCTCTTCAGTCATTGAAATAAATATGTTTTAATCATTAGAATCTACATTCTAAACATGTGGAACATAAAGAAACCTTCACAGCCTCAACATTATTTTTTTGATGATTACCCCAAAATTATGAACTTTCATTTCCACCTTAACAAAGAAAATAATCTACAATTTACAATTAACTTACTTTAACTTACTTTTAAATCCAGAAACAGCTTGTCAAATGATCCCTTGACTTCAGTAAAAATTAAGACACAACATTTGATGTATTTTATATCCTAACTGCAAACCCATTCTTGAAGATTTTAGCAAATCTATACAGCAATCTTCTTCATTCTTTTGACATGTTTTCTTTGATTGGTTGTCCAAAAATGTACATAATTCTCCAACTACTGTCCAAGATTTTTTAGAAGTTAATAATAGCTTCTTGCTTTGGTAGCCTACGCCTTGTTACAAAACTGAGGATGACTTTACCTCCTTGCTTTTCTAAACATATTCCTTACCAGTCTTAAATAACTTCATATCTACACCTCAGGTCCTCCATGTAATATATAAATAGAAGGTGCATTTCCCTTTTCTGATTTTACTTCGAAGCATATTACCACCACTTTTTTTTCTACAAAGAGTTGCTGGCTATCCTTTGTTTCCTATTTTCCCAAAGCCTTTTTACAGCAATTTAATTATCATCGCTCCCTATTTAGGGCCAGTCAATTTTGATATTGTTCCCTAAATTGCTAAATGCAGGTTATTTTATAGTAACTTTGTTCAATTCTCCTCTCTAACTGTTGGTCAGAAAAGACAAGAAGACACAGAATTTGCAGGAAGTTATATCAACTTTCCTTCTCACATCCCACTATGTTGGTGTTATTTTGCACAATGCCATTTTTTTAACTTGGTAGAAGATAATTGGCTCTGTGAAAGGAATCTGTAAAATATCTTGTGAGAAATACACCAGATAAGTATGACCATTGAAAGCAAACAAAGCTCTTATAGAAAGTCAAAAATCACACAACACCAGGTTATAGTCCAACAGGTTTATTTGAAAACACAAGCCTTCGGAGCCTCAATCCTTCTTCAGGTGTTAGTGAGAGAGGTAGTATCAGATACAGAGTTTATAAGTGAAAGATCGAAGGGTCACACTGCTGCCGAGGATGTACTAAACAAACCTAAGATGTGTTAAATCTTTAATCAAAAGGTTTCGATGGATTAATATGTATATGTAAATCCAACCCCTGAAACACACACACTCTTCCCACACGCTCTCTCTCTCCTCCCCTCCTCACTCTCACACGCTCTCTCTCTCTCTCCTAAACACACACACACACACACACACACACACAGACACACACACACACACACACACACACACACACACACACACACACACAGACACACACACAGACACACACGTGAATCTATGGGGTGAATTTGTATTTGCAGATACATTTTATTTTGTTCAAAAAGCACACAATTTATAAAGTCAGTCAATATGGCGTTTTATAAATTCCTACTTTAGAAATAAAACCCAGTCTGACTTCAAACTAAAACACAAACAGATTCTTAACAACGTCTCACACCTAACATGCATTGTCTGACCTAAAATGTTACTCCTTCTTTGTACAATAAAACCTTTAGTTCTCTCAGGATCGTGACTTGAAAGGAATTCAGGGATTTACATATACACATTAATCAACTGAAACCTTCCAACTGATTAAAGATTTAACAGCATCGCAGGTTTGTTTAGTACATCCTCATCAACGGTGTGACCCTTTGATCCCTTACTTATAAATTCTGTGTCTGATATTGACCTCTCTCACTAATACTTGAAGAAGGACTGAGGCTCCGAAGGCTTGTGTTTTCAAATAAACCTGTTAGAGTATAACCTGGTGTCGTGTGATTTCTGACTTTGTCAAACCCAGTCCAACACCGGCACCTCCACATCATCCCTTACAGAAAGTGATACTGAATGAATAAATACTAGACAATATCAGGGCAGTACCTTCTCTGTTTCTAAATACTGCACTACCTGTTAAAAATATGGATTATGAATCAGATTTTGGAAAATCTGTGCCATTTTGTGAAATGACTTTCTGGAAACAGTCTAGAATAACCAACCGGAAATGAAAAATTATATTTAAAATTTGTCATTTTTTCTGTCAACGAGAATCAACAGTCAAATCTTACAAGGATTTCAGATTTTCAGCAAGGTTGGAAAAGACAAGAACCAGTTCTGAAAATAAACATATATACACACATTCTGAAATTAATGAAACAGAAGTTAAATCTGGCAAAAGAGATTGTTCAACATTGATAGCAGTGCATAGTATTAGTATAATTTACCTCTTCTGACTTCTTTCCTATCTGTTTCTCTTGTTGTTCCCTGATATCTTCAAACTGTTGTGACTGAATTTTCAGCTCCTCCTTAGAAATTACCAATGCATTTTCCAAATCTTTAACCTGTGGTTATTCATCAGAACAGTGAAAATGTTGCAAAATATTGAAAACCCACAATTAAACATTTCTGATTTGGAAATGCACAAATTCCATAAAATGGTCACCCAATTTAAATTTAACTAATCAACACTTCTTCCATTTGCATGCATTTACCATCTACAAAAACAGAATCATAAAGAGTATAAAATAATGTTTACAGACTTTGGAAGCTTCTTCATCTGTTTGATTTTGTAAGGCTTTTAATGTGGCATTATTTCTGTCATTTTGTTTCTTTATTTCCTAGAAATATAGATAAAACATGTTAGAAAGAATGCTGGGTGGCATAAAATAGATAGTGCCAACATTATGGATGTGGTTATTATAATCAGAAATAGAAATAACCAAATATTGCAAAGTTCACATAAACATTTAGTTGTGCTGCTAACGGAAGTTTCATTTTGAATTTTTGTCTATTTTGAAACCCTAAGAGTTTCTGCACTGATTTCATACTGTAAACAGATCAATCTACACAGCTGTATGATTTTTCTGAGAAATTGTAATTTGGCTGGTCTGCTCCTTAGCTGAATTATTCATCAGATCAAGACATGGCAACAATTCTCACAAGCCGTGATTTTTGTGGGGTTTGACACAAGCATAATAATTTGGAAATAATTTGAGATTGTTAGAGGTCTTTAATCTGAATCCTTAAAGTAAATTGGCATGATTGTTGCTTTTCAATAATATGGGAAAGTACAGGTTTAGTGATACTAATCAATGGAAATGATTTCCAAGTTTATGGCTGACACTGATTTATACAGGTATTAGGACTTTGGAGAAAATTCAACTGCAAAAAATCTTGACGCAGTAGACATAGCTAAGATACAGACGCAAAGTACGCATTTAGTATTTGCTAAAGAAGATGCTGCTGAAGTCATGGTGAAAGAGGACATAAAGAATGGGCTGAAAATTCATAAAATGGAATTACTGGCAAATGTTAAATGCAGGCAGACTTTCTACGTCATTAGGGCCAGATGGGATACATCCAAGGATACTGACGAAAGTAAGGGCCGAAATTACAGAGGCAATGTCTTTCATCTTCCAATCCTCCTTAGTTACAGTGTGTAGTATCAGGCAACTAGAAAATTGCAAATATTGCATCTTTGTTCAGAAAAACTGTGTAACATTAAACCCAGCAACTACATACCAATCAGCTCAATCTCAGCAGCGGGAAACCTTTCACAAATGATAATCTTGAGACAAAACTAACACTGACTTGGTTAAGTGTAGTTTAATTAAAGAATGCCTAATGGATTTGTAAAAGGCAAATCATGTTTAATTTAAACTGCCTCATTACAGATTAGCAGATACAAAACAGTCTGATCCCTACTTGGATCCACAAAAATATTTCTCCAGGAAACTGTCCCAAATAAACTCTATCAATTGTTCTTTATTGCTACCTTTACCAATTTGATTTTGCCAACATGAAGATTAAAGTCATCATGATTAGTGTACTGCCTTTTTATTTTAACATGCCCTCATTAACTTACTATTTATTCTATCATACAGAAAAGCTACTGTCAGGGGCTGGTACTTCCACCAGTACCTTCTATCCTTGGTTATTTTTTACCTCCGTCCATATGTTTTCTACATTATCCCATCCCAAATCATTTCTTGCTATCATACATATGTCACATTGCACCAACAAAGCTACCCTTCCCTTTTGAAAGATCACATACCACTGAATATGCAGCTCCTAACTTTTATCTCCTTGTAATCATGTCTCCGTAATGGCTACACAATCATATCCATTAACCTCCATTTATGTTGTTAATTCATTCATTTTGTTCCAAATATTATGAACATTTAAGTAATGAGCCATTAATTTTGCCTTTTTACTAAATTTCCCCCCTTTGACCTTATTTGCTGCTGTTTTCTTAGACTTGCACACTCTGACCCTTCCTGTCCACTTCTGGCATCATTATTAAAATACGTGCTCTGGAATGCCACAGTTTCCCCTTGTCCTGTAAGTCTATGTTTCCTCCTCTATTTAGTTTAAAGTCTCTCTTCAGCCCCAGGGAATCAATTCATAGGAACACAGAAACAGGAGTAGGCCATCCCCTTCAGTCTGTTCTGGCATCATGGCTGACCTATGGCCCAACTCCATACGCCTGCCTTGGACCTATCTCGCTTGTTACCCTTATTTAGTAAAAAATTGTCCCTCTCAGATTTAAATTTAACTACTGAGTTAGCATTGACCGCCATTTAAGGAAGAGAGTTCCAAACCTCACTATTCTTTGCACGTAGAATTGCTTTCTAACATCTCTCCTGAATGGCCTGGCCTTAATTATTAGAGTATGCCTCCTGGTTCTCGAACCTTCAACCAGAGGATATAGTTTCTCTTTATCCACCTTGTCTTTCCCTATTAGTATCCTGAAGACCTCAATTAAATCACCCCTTAACCTTCTAAATTTTAGAGAATAAAGCACTAATTTGTCTCAGGACATTGGCCCCAATGTGGTTCAAATGAAATCTGTCTGTTCAGAACAGTTCCCTTCTATCCCAATACTGGTATGAGTACTCCATGAACTGAAATCAATTCCTCCTTCACTAATCTTACACATCCAAGGATAATGTGGGGCAATCTCCCATAGCCTATTCACCTAACCTGCACATTTTTGGACACTGGAAGGAACCAGAGGACACTCATGCAGACACAAGGAGAGTGTGCGAGCTCCACACACTCAATCGCCCAGATGGTGGAAGGAACCCGGGTCCCTAGCACTGTGAGGCAATAGTAACCGCTGAGCCACCACTGAGCTCAGTGGTCAGCACTGCTGCCTCACAGCGCCAGGGAGCCAGGTTCGATTTCACCCTTGGACGACTGTCTGTGTGGAGGTTGCACATTCTCCCGGTGTCTGTGTGGGTTTCTTTTCCTAGAGAATAGTGAATCTATGGTAAAAGTTGCCAACTGGTGCAGTGAGCGCCATTTCAATGTCAACATTCATGAAGATCTGCACTGACTCCTGGCTTAGGCAGAGATCACACCATGCTAGAGTGAGGTATCAAACGCGTCCATGATCAGTGTGACCCCCAGGACTAGCTTCAATCATCTAGCAGAATTGGACAGCATTTTTGAAATTTTGTTTCTTGAGTTTACAAAGTTGGCATGTTATGTAATCAAGCAGTCTTAAACAACTGAAGGATTCTACATTGTAGATATTGAGAAACTAGAGAATAATCTTCAAGTGAATGCTAGCTCATTGAGGAGTAAAATCAAGGAGTACATTTTCAAACACAAAGGGTAGAAAAGTCAAGAACTTACTCATGCTAATAATTTTGTAGACACTGAGTTAAATAAAATTTTCAAGACTGAAAATCATTTTTAGTAAAGATATCAGGCGATTTGGATTAAGCAGTTAAGAGGGGTTCATATCAGTTTTGATCGAATTGAACAGAAATTCGAGAGGGAATAATGGCTCAATCTTTTGCCTATGTTTTCGGTTTTCAACAGCATCTCAACTGTTTGGCCCAGGTGAGATGGGTCAGCTGGTCTTTTCCTGTCTGATCTTTTATGTGTTCATAAAGCCAAATGAAAACAGCCACAGTTTTCAGATATACAGTTTTGAGTTTGCAAGATCTGCATTTTTCCTCACTGTCCAAGACCCCTTACACACCTTCCAGGTGAAGCGGCATTTTATGCGTACTTCTTTCAATCTAGTCTCCTGTATTCGCTGCTCACAATGTGGCCTCCGTTTCACTGACAAGACCAAATGCAGTCTGGGTGACCGCTTTGCAGAATACCTCCACTCTGTCCTTAGAAATGACCCTGATGTTTCAGTTGCTTGCAATTTCAATAAACCATCATGCTCTCATGCCAAAATTCCTGTCCTGATCCTGCTACAGTGTTTCAGCAAAGGTCAACGCAAGCTGGAGGAATGGCACATCTTTTGCCACTTACGCACTTTACAATCACAAGGATTCAATATTGAATTCCACAAATTTAGAGCATGACTGTTGTATCCTAAATTTTTCTTACATCCTCCAAACATCCACTCCTTCTCCTCCTTTCGTTCTCCCCTTTGCATACACATACACACATTTGTTTGTGCGTCTTATTGATTTGGCTCTCAGAGAGAACACATTTTCTATTTTTCATACTTTTATTTACACCCTATTTCACATTTCTATCTTCCCTTCACCACCATTAGCGACCCCTTTGTCTTTGGCACTGAACACTTTCACAATCTGTTCCATCTTCAACTCAGGTCCCTCTGCCTACAGGGTGCAAACCAGAATTTTCCCAACCTCTTCCAGTTCTAAAGAAGTGCCTGAAGAAGAATCATACCAGACTCAAAACATTAACTCTGTTTTCCTCTTCACAAATGCTACCAGATCTCCTGAGTTACTCCAGAATTCTCTATATTTATTTAAGATTTCCAGCATCCTCAGTATTTCACTCTTATTAGCAAAGAAATGTCATATTGGACAAAAATAAGTGTTAACTCTGTTTCTCTTTACACAGATACTGCCACACCTGCTGAGTTTCTCCAGCACTTCAGTAAAAATTAAGGTTTGCTTTCTCTTAGCACTGGATTTGTTGTTTGGGTTGTTACACTTTAGTGTACATCGTTGGTTTTCTATAAAAGAAATCCTTGTGTGTATGTATGTCTAAAGGCATAATTCAGAACTTTTGTAATACATAACCATGAGTAAAGGCCCAATTCAAACAAACAAACAAAAACCAAGTCAAACTTACCAGCAGTTCAGCTGGATGTAATTTATATCATTATACTTTAAGTACATTAAAAACACTGACATACGCTAAATCTTTTACCAAAGTCAAACCCTTTGAAAACCCTAATGGATTGAAACCATTAAAATAAGAATGATAAAAAACTTTAGTTTTAAAGCTTACTTCTCTGGTTTCCTCAAGGAGGAATTCCAATGATTCAATTCTGCTTTGCTTGGCAGTGATCTCTTCCTGAACACTTGATATTGTTTGCTTCTGTTTTTTCAACTGTTGCTCCTTCTCTTCCAGTTGACTTTGAAGCTTAACAAGGAAAGGAAACAACTGAATTTGCAATGTGCCTTTCATGATATCCCAAGATCTTCAGGGAACTGTGTCAACATATAACTAAACATCACTTTCTCCACCTGGGCTCATTGTCAGGGACCTCCAATGTACACAAATGCAATGACCTTTTTAACAGCTTGAACTGAAGTGTACTGTTTACTTTGAGTAATATTTTTATGCAGTTATAATAAATCATCCTTTCTTTGACCATTTTGTATCAATGCCTGTAGGTTTATTTGGACAAGTTAAGAACATTACAGCGAGGTAAAGCTTCTGTTATTGACCCTATAATAATTTGTCTGATTTATACTATTAAAAAACAACAGCACTTTTCACAAAAAATTTTCAATCTTTTCCTTCAGCATTTCAGTACTTGCCATTGTTATCATATGGCTCTTTGTTTTTTTTTAATTCATTCACAGGATTAATGCGTCACTGTCTAGGTCAGCATTTAGTGCCACCCCTAATTGCCCAGAGAGCACTTGAGAGTCAACCACATTGCTCTGGGTTTGGAGTCACATGTAGGCCAGACCAGGTAAAGATGCAGCTTCCTTCCCTAAAGGACATTAATGAACTAGATGGGTTTTATGGACAATCGACAATGGATTCATGGCACCATCAGACTCTTAATTCCACATTCTTATTGAATTCAAGTCCCACCATCTGTCATAGTGGGATTCGAACCCGGATCCTCAGAACATTACCTGGGTCTCTGGATTAATGGCCCAGCAATAATACCACTAGGCTATCACCACCTTCAATTCTATAGACAGTGCATACTGGGTGAGTGGACATGGAGGAAGCCATGCACAAAGCCTTTAAACTAACTTTTCAAAAGGTTCCCAAATCCAGGCTATCGCTCACAACTCCTCTGAGGGGCCACGAACTATGAGTTATGAAGTAGCCCAACTCCACAAAAATGGCAGGGAGTAATGAAGCCAAACTGGTTACGAGTGCTCACTACCTGCACCTTGACACTATGTAGAAATCTTGAAATCAGGTCTTGCCCGCATTTTTAAATGGCTCCAAACGCCAAATTCTTGACAGTGCCTCAACCTGGCCTAGATATCTTTGGTGCAACAGTTAGAAATGGAAAAATACAAGAGCACCAACATATATAAAGTCCAGAGAAAAGATGTTTAACAAGGATGGAGAGTCAAATGAGGATGCAGCGTCAATGAGGATCGTGAACAAGAGATTGGAGCAATGGTAGGCTTCATTCTAGATGCAGTATAAAACATTTTGGCGTACAAGATTCTAAGGTGAATCAGCGATAGTAGGAACTGCAGATGCTGGAGAATCCGAGACAACAAGGTGCAGGGCTGGATGAACACAGCAGGCCAAGCAGCATCATAGGAGCAGAAAGGCTGACGTCTGTGAAGAAAAATCAGTTAAAATTTCAGGTCCAGTGACCCTTCCTCGAAACACCAGACCCCAAAATGTTGTCTCTGATTTTTCTTCACAGATGCTGCCAGACTTGCTGAGCTTTTCCAGCAACTTCTATTTTTGTTCAAAAGTGAAGGAGTTTAGCAGCAAAGACGGTTGAGGAACAACAGCACATTTTTAAGAAAATAAATCATGGCTCACAGCAAAAACACATTCCAGTGATAAGGATGGATTCTAGGAATGGAATAAACCAACCTTGGTCAAATAGCAAAGTTAAAGATAACATCAGATTGAAAGAAAAAAAGAATACAGTGTGTTAAGATTAGTGGTAAGCCAGAGGTTTGGGAAAGGTTTAACAACAAACAAAAAATGACCAGAAAAATTGAACAGGGACAAAATAAACATTAAGGGAAATCTTGTAAGCGTATCAAATCAGACAACCAGAGCTTCTTTAAATTCATAACAGAAGCCAAGGTAAACATAGGCCCCTTAAAAAATAAGTCTGGGAAAATAATAATGGGAAAACTGGAAATAACAGAGGAGTTGAATAAATGCTTTGCACCAGTTTTCACAGCAGAAAGCACCAGAAGCATCCCAAAACTACTAAATATTCAAAGGGAAAAAGAAGAGGAATAAATACAATATGTAACTCTAATGTTAGAACCCTTGCAGATTTTTCAGTATTTTTGTTTTACTTATTTATTAATTTTGGTTTGGCGCTGTGAACTGTGAACTGAAAATGACGTTTGGACTGTGAGCAGTTTTTTGAATTGGAGAAAAGGGCAAACAAGCTGGTGCCGTTTTGCAAGGTCAGGCATGAAAGTTAATTACAGGTTGGATCTTGATCAAGGTGCTCCACAGACACTTCAATTCCAGGGAAAGTAGTTTGCTTAAACAGAAAGCAGATGTTTGTCCATTAACGAGATCAGTACCTGAGAACTGGTGCCAGCAACTCTGGAAGAGTACATCATGACCAAACGGATGGAGGGGCTGGTGAGTTTGAACTGGTTTTTGGATTGTGTTTCTGAGGAGGAGGAGTTTGACTGTTGATGCCATTATCAGTCATAGGAAGTTCAGAGAATACAAACTATGCTATGTGTATTGCTGAAAGTTTCTCAGCGTGAACTTAAAAGGTGAATTGACGTCTTCAGAAAATCAACCAAGAAACAATCATTTGAAACAAAGCAGTGTGAAAACTGCTTAAGTAATCTGATCAGTTTTGTTATTTTCTTTTATTTATCCCTGAATTATCTTTGCTTGTCTGTCTTGTGTGTGAATGAGTCTGAAGACAAAGGTTGCTGAGTTTAATTATAGATATCAATTAGATTACTTTTTGTTTAATTTTGCTCTTCTAAAGTTACTGTATTGTTGATAAATACTTAAGTCATTTGTTTAAGCTACAAACCCAGTGTCTAGAATTGATTATTCTGAGAGTCTGGGATTGGTTATTCAAAAGGTGTGCTTAGGAACCATTGGGGTCAATTTGGGGGACAATAAAGCTTTAATTTTACTGTGTCATGAGCATAGGGGTAGGAGGGTAGATTTGATTTGGCTGTCTGTGTCCATGTTGTAATACTGGAGAAGAAATGCTAGGGAAACTAATAGGGCTAAAGACTGCTAGGTTTCCCTGGACCTGATGACATGCATTCTAGGATTTAAAAGAAGTAGCTACAGATATAGTAGATGCACTGGTAGTAATCCTTCAAGAATCCCTAGATTTTGGAAAAGTCCCACAGGATTAGAAAACTCCCAATGTAACACCCTTATTTAAAAAGGGAAGGGAACAAAAATAAAGGTAATTACAAGCCAGTAATCTTAATGTCTGTTAGTTGGATAATATCACAGATCATAGAATCCCCAAAGTGTGGAAACAGGCCCTTCGGCCCACCAAGTCCACACCGAACCTCAAAGCATCCCACCCAGACCCACCCCGCTATAGCCCACCTCATTTACACATCCCTGAACACTATGGGCAATTTAGCACGGTCAATCCATCTAGCATGCACATCTTTGGACTGTGGAAGGAAACTGGAGCACCTGGAGGAATTCCACGCAGACATGGGGTGAATGTGCAAACTCCACACAGACAGTCGCCCAAGGGTGGAATTAAACCTGGATCCCTGGCGATGTGAGGCAGCAGTACTAACCACTGAGCCAAACTTTACTGGAAAGGATTAGTAGCACAGCATTCAGAAATGCATAGTACCATCAAGCACAGGGAGCAATGGTTCATGAAAGGGAATTCATGCCTGACACATTTACTAGAATTCATTGAGGAGGTAACAAGCAGGGCAGTTAAAGGAGAAGCAGTGAACGCAATATATTCAGATTTTCAGAAGGCATTTGACAGGGCACCAGGCATAAGGCTACTTAACAAGATAACAGCCCATGTTGTTAGAGGGTTGGCTAATAGAACTGACAGGTTGGGATAAGGGGGCATTTTCACAATGGCAACCTGGAACAAGTGCCACAAGGATCAGTCATGGAGCAATGATTATTTGCATTTAATATTAACGACTTGAGTGAGGAAAGTGAAAAACATAATAGCCAAGTTGCACATGACACAAAAACAGGTTTGAAGGTGAATCGCGAGGATGACCCAAAGAGTCTGAAGAGAGATGTAGACAGAGTGGACAAAAACTTGGCAGATGAAATATAATGTGAAAAAATGCGAGGTCATGCATTTTGGCATGAAGAAAAAAGGAGCCGAGCTGAATATTATTTAAACAGAAAAGGACCGCAGACAGCTACGGAACAGAAGAATTTAGGAATCTTCTTCCATGAATCACAAAAGGCTGGCGTCCAAATTCAGCCGGTAAGACGGAAGGCAAATGGAATCTTTGACCTTTATTTCAGTGAGAATGTTGTCTAAAAGTAGGGATGTTTTGCTATAACTATACTAGGTACTCATCAGGCCACAGCTGGAATACTATGAACAGTGTTGAGACCCGTATCTAAGGAAAGATATACAAATGTTGGCAATCCAGAGATGGTTCACCAGGCAAAAACCTGGAATGGAAGGACAATCTTATGAGGAGAGGCTGAGCAGATTAGGCCTGTACTTGTTGGTAGATAGAATAATGAAAGACAACCCTGTTGAAATATACAAAACTCTTACAGGACTTGACAGGGTACATATGGAAAGGTTGTTTTCCCTTTGTGGGAGTGTCTGGGACCAAATGGCATTATCTCAGAATTATGGGTTGCACATTTAAGACAGAGAGGAGGAGGAATTTCTTCTCTCAGGGGGTTGTGAATATGTGGAATTCTATACACAAAGGATTATTGAGGCTGGGTCATGAAGTACATTCAAGGCTGAGATAAACAGATTTATAATCAGTAAGGGAATCAAGGGTTATTGGGGAAAAGGCAGGGAAGTGGATTAAGGATTATCAGATTTGCCACAATCTCACTGAATGGCAGATGGGCTGAACGATCTAGTTCAGCTACATATTATGGTCTGATAGTACCTTGAGAAATAGCAAAAGCTCTTACATAGCACAGGTCTTAGCATCATCACTGCAACAATGAAAGGGAACATAGACAAATGGGCATGTGATATTCTGCCAAATTACATTGTTGTCTCAAAGGGACTGAATTAAATTGGAATCACTGTTGGATAATTCAAAACTTATTGTTTCAGCACCAAAATACAAGTGAAGTTAATGGCAATTTTTAGGAGCACAATCACACCTTCTAAACTACAACATCCTTTCATTCCTTGTGGATTAGGTATTAGCCTACAAACTAGGCACTGTAAAAAAAACACATGCTCAAACTATATGAAAATGCATATGGTTATAGATTTCTAATGCTCACACAAAGAAATATTAGCCTTTCTAACCAAATGGAAAGAAGCGTAAAGTATTTTTGAGCAAATGGATAAGCAAAACCTGAACATGGTTTATTTGGAGAGGCCACATGTGATGGGCAATTATGGGATGGTACACTTGTGTATTCCTAATGCACTTAACTGGTTCACAAAGCAGAACGCTTGTCTCCTGAAAGAAGCTGAAAGTAATACAGAATCTATTCAAGAAAACAATGGTAACATTGCTAGCCATTGACTCATTTAGCAGAAAATAATGGAACTTCCTCAATGACAGCAACAGCAGCTCTAAATTATCTGATTTTACAATGTCAAAGAAACTAGAAATCAATATTTCTCTTCTGATTAAATTAGCATGTTGACATTTTCACAAAACTTGAGTATTTCAAACATTCAATTTTTCTCCAATTCTACATTTCTGGGCATGTCAACACTTTCTAGGATTACTGTTGCAATCAGATTCACCAAAAAAAGTAACAATGTGAGAAAAAGAAAAGTGTACAGTTAAAGGCTGCAAATATCTATCAGCTTCTTTGAAATGAAGGTCAGAAATCTTAGCCTATAACTGTGGAAAAAAAAGGTATTTGTTATCATACAAATCTTTGTGGGCATATTAAAAGCAGCCTTCCTTTAATGAATACAGATCATTTTTTATTTAAACAATACGTTTCTAATTTTAAAACTCTCATACACTAAGATAAAAATACCTACATGTAATTTTAAGTAATTAGTTTTAAAACATAAGCTTACAATTTCAATCTGCTTCTCGAGTTCTTGACACTGTTCAGTTTGAATCTTCTTGATATGTTCACATGCGGCAATATTTTCCTCATGTTGTTCCTCTATGAATTTTTCCAATTTGATTATTTCTTTATTCTTTTCCTAAAATTTTGTAGGGAATCAGTAGTAACAAAATCAATGGTTATAGGTATTATTGCTCAAAACTTTCCTCTTAGAAGAAGCATGTTTCAAAGACAAGTCACACAACTGAAAGAAATGAAGATGAGGACACATTTTCAAAATACAATGTGTATATTTACTTAACTAATCAAGGATAACCCACCTCAGATTTTTTACTCCAAGTGAGAAAAGGCATTTGTGTCTGAATATAAGATTTTCCATGTTTAGCACTTCAAAATGATGTATTTGGCATCAGTTTAAAAAAAAGGCTTTGGGCAAAACTCAATTCATTCTTAGGATGTATATATACCTAAGAAGGGCAGGACTAAATTGACCAACCTTTGTTGCCATAAAGAGATGGTGGCAGGCCTTCATGAACCATAAGGGGATTATTCACCACAATGCTGTTGGACGACGTTAGAGGATTTGCTCTGGCAACATTGAAGGATTGTCAATATGCATCCTAAGTCATGTCTGAGTGTGACTTAATCATGGAGGTGGTGATATACCAGCTGCCACTGTCCTTCTAGTTAATATGGCTTACGAGTTTTTGAAGTACAAAGTTGTTGTTGCAATGTACCCTGTGCAGTTCCAGAAGAGAATCTGAACTTCAGACAAGTGGTGCTGTGCAAGCAGATTGCCTTACCCTAGATAGGATCAATAGTAAAAAGACTTTGGGGAATGAGGAAGTAGGCCACATAATCCAGCATACTCAGTTCTCACCTGCAATAGTAGTTATAGTATTAATAGTGCTCATCTACATGGATTTCTGATCCATGATCAATTCCCCACAGAATAGTATAGCAGGAGACTCAAAATTTGAAACAAATTACCAGTATGGAAGCTATATAGTTTAAGGGCTGCTTGATAGCACTGTTGATAATTGCTTTCATAATTTTTCCAATGACAGGGGCAATAGGTTTATAGAATATCAATTCCTGTGATTGGATTGGGTTCATTCCACACTTTTGTGAAATTAACATAGGCAATTTTTCACATCACTGAGCAATGTCAATGCAAGAATTTTTTTTCTTTATTCACTCATGGGACATGGGCATCGCTGACCGGTCAGAGTTTTTATTACCGTACCTAGTTGCCCTTGAGAAGTGGTGGTGAGTGGCCCTCTTGAAACACTGTGGTCTACATGCTGTAAGTTTACCCACAATATCCTTAAAGTGGGAATTCCAGAATTTTGACCCAGTGACAATGAAGCTTTAATAATATATTTCCAAGTCAGGATAATGAATGGCTTGGAGGATTTGTGAGCCCAAAGCGATACCCTGCCTTGAGTTGTTAGATTTGTTTGAAGTCTGTCCCATTTAGCACTGTAATAATGCCACACAACACCATACACGATATTGGCAATGTGAAGGTAGGACTTTGTCTTCACAAGGACTGTGCGGTGGTCACTCTTAGCAATACTATTATGGACAGATGCACCTGCAGCCAGCAGACTAGTAAGGATAAGATCAAGTATGTTTTTCCCTCGTTGGTTCCCTCACTACCTGCCGCAGACACAGTCTAGCAGCTACATCCTGTAAGAACCAACCAGCTCGGTCAGTAATGTTACTGTTGAGCCACTCTCGGTGGTGGACACTGAAATTCCCCACACAGAGTAAATTTTGGACCCTTTCCACCCTCAGTGCTTCCTCAAAGAGTTGTTCAACGTGGAGGAATGCTTGGATTTACCAAGCTCTATGTAAAACAAAGTGTTTCCAAGTCACAATTCCATTTAACAAATATGATTGAATATTTAAGGGTTGGAAATGCTGGAAATCTGTATTTCTGAGCTATAAAAAAAATCAAAATTCAAAAACATATTGGTTTTTAAGTAAAATTCTCCTTTTCAGTAAACATGGATATTTACATTGTCAAGATATTGCCATATTCAGAGGACTTTTTCTGAAGTTTAATAAGTGGCCATTTCTCACTGCATTTCATTTTAACAATCCAAGACAGCATTGCACAATAGTTGTCATTAAATTATTATTCCAATTTTACCACAATGTCTTGTTCATGTTCGATTGCTTTGACTGCATTTGTAGTGCAAACAATGGTTTTCTCCTCCAACTGTTTCTCCACTGTGGCAAGCTGATTTTTTGTTTTCCTTAGCTGTGAAACAGATGAATATGTGCATATTAAAAAAGTATTTCAAAACAATCAGTGCTTATCATTGGATATGAATATAACAGCAAGGTTAATTAACCAAAAAAAGTTAACGTAAAGGGCTTTTCCTTTCACTCACGCATATTTTTCACATATTTAAGAAACAAAAGGAACATTCACACACTTCTGCATACAATCTTTTGATCCTTGTTTTATGTGCTCAGAAAATCAAATACACCTAAATTCCCAACATCTGGCACAGTAAGGCTCCTAACAAGAGGGCATAAACTTAACCAATTATTCTTATAATTTTATAATCTGAAACAGGTTAAAAATTAGCACTGGAATTCTGGTACGTAGTTTATTTACACAAAACTTCTATTATACATTTTTAACTATATTCAATTCAATACAGGTGTGGGCATTATCTAGGCATTCACTTATTCTACTACAAGTAGGAGAGACTAAAATTGCTGTGATTAATTTTAGAAAAGGCTTGTTTGTAACATGTATTTCTTTAAAATGTTGTAAGATGTGTAAAGATCAGCTCCAATTCAATCATTCACCACATAGCATTTTAGAATAAAACATAGATTGCTCTGTCTCCTTTAGGACCAAGGCGAGGTTTGAAAACTGATCAGCTTAATGCTTGGTCAAATTGATTCTGGTCTTGAGATAAATACGTATATGCTAAGTAACATGTTAATGCTGCATCAGGCTTTGTTTATAGTTGACATATTGTTTGTGACAGTTGAAAAAAATCATTCTTTTCCAAACATTTCTAAAGATCCAAAGAGACATGAAAATAGTTAAGTCCCGCATCGTTCATGTGCTTCCAAAATTTGCAATTGCTATTGCATAAAATAATCAATAATTTTGTGACAAGAAAAGGAACTCAAAACTGAGGACTCATCAGGTCAGGGGCAAAGCTGGGCAAGACCAACGGGGATAAGTAACAGTGGTTACAGAGAAGCCTAAGACCAAATTTAAGACCTCAGTGGTAGGTTTAAAAAAAAGTGAAGTTAAGACTAGCTTCAAGGAAAAGAAAAACAATCAAAATATGAAATCATGAGAAAACAGGTTAACTAACTGGCTCATGAGTGTTTCCCTTTTCCTTTCTAATCTGAAGCACAGATTCAAAACAGGAGCCAGGAAATTCACATTTTACACTTTAGGTAACTGTAAGAGCAAGTAAATTAATAATAAAAATATTATTAGCTCAAAGGTATATTTCAAGAGGCTGTAACTTCACAAGCACAAGGTGTAGGAGAGTAGTTGGATGGTCATTGTATAGCTACAAAGAGGCAGGTTGTGCAGGAGTCAACTGCATCTGGTCACTCTCAAACTAGTACTGGAGACTGCTGGAGTAACAACAGCTTCAAGAAATGCACTCTACAAAATAGCACCAATGAGGAAGGGGTGCGTGGAGGTTGGGGGAGGGGAAAATAGTAAAGTGTAGAAATGTAGCTGTTGTAATATTGCGAGTCCCTCATGATATATTAAAAAGACATGCCTCAAGGCCTTGTGTCTTAATGTAGGGAGCATTCGCAATAAAGTGGATGAATTGGTCATGCAAATAGATATAAAGAAGTACCATAATGTTGGGATTATGGAGATGATGCCACAATGTGATCCAGGGGTATTCAGATTTTAGGAAGGAAAGACAGAGGGAAAGGAGGTGGGCAGCATTGCTGGTTAAGCATGTCATTAAGGCAATAGTGAGGAAGCATATTAACTCCAATGGAATATTTATGGGTAGAGTTTAAAAAAAAGCAGAAAACAATAGTAGGGGTTCTATTTAGACCCCCAAACTGTAGTAGCAACGCAGAAATTAGACACAAGAAATAAATATACAGCTGCAACTATGGGTCACTTTAATCTGCATATAGGTTTGAAACATCAAATCAGTAACAATGCTGTGGAGGAGGATCAATATGTTAACAAACCAACTTCCAGTCATCTTAGACAGGGTGTTGTGTAATGAGAAACCAACAATTAGCAATCTAGCTGTGCAAGGCCCCTTGAAGAAGAACACAATACGGTAGAATACTTCATTAAGATGGAGTGTGACATAATAGGTCCCTTACAGTCAGAAAGAGGAGCACCAAAGATATGACAGACCAGATAAATACATATTTTGTCTTCATCAGAGTCATCTAGACTCGAAACATTAGCTCCATGGATACTGCCTGACCCGCTGAGATCTCCAGCATTTGTCGTTTTCAGTACAGATTCCAGCATCTGCAGTAATTTGCTCCTATCTTGATAATCTACATCCCAACTTATTATGGAAGTGGCCCTAGAGTACAGGATGGAATGGTGGTCATCTTTCAAGATTTGAGGCATGCTGGAACAATTTCTATGGATTAGAGCATTGCTGATGTAACTCCACTACTTAAGAGAGGTAGAGGGGAACAGGAAACTATAAACCAGTTAGTTTGACATTGGCAGTAGGGAAAATGCTGGAGTCCATGATGAAAGGTGCAAAAGCAGAGCACTTGGAAAACAGTGAGAGGATTGGACAGAGTCAGCATGGATTTACGTAAAGGTGAAAGGAAAGTCCAGCTTGATAAATCGACTCGATTTATTTGAGGGTGTAACTAGTAGAGTTGATAAAGGGGGAGCCAGTGGATGTGGTTTACATGGACTTTCAGAAGGCTTTCAATCTACTGAAATAAGACATGACTGTGAGCTGCAGGAAGACATCAATGTACTGGTCATGTAAGCAAGGAAGTGGCGAATGGAATTCAATCTGGGACAAGTGTGAGGTGATGCATTTGAAAAACTTAAACAAATGGAATTATACCGTGAAGTGTAGATGTAGGAAAGGACCTTGGAGCACATGTCCGCAGATCCCAGAGATAGTAGGACTAGCCAATAAGATGGTTAAGGCACCATTTGAAATAGTTTCCTTTGTTAACTAAAGCAGAGAATGTAAGAACAGGGAGGTTATGCAGTTGTTTTTAAAAATTACTAATTAGGTCAAGACTTGAGTACTGTGTGCAGCTCTGGTAATCTCTGAAATAACTCCACAGAAGCCAGTATTCTGTGACCGAGTCACTCTGTGTTTACACATGAATAGTCCTCGATTTTAGTACTGCCTCATTCAGAGTCAGGTACCAAAATGTCAGTACTTCTGACGCTCACCCTTTTGATCTGTCAGTCAGGGCTCCCTGATTAGAGCAGATTAACAGCTCCAATCAGTGAACTCATATTCTATGAGATCTAGCTGGCTGATCTCGTTACAATCACTACATCCCTCCCCCTCTGAATTCACAGACATAGGCCGGTCCTTTTTCTTGGAGAGCCTCCAGGGGTGTTATAGCACCAAGTCAGGTTCCACCAACTCGGCGTCTGACATGGACAACATGTAACGCCTCTTGAATCTGGGGCGCCTCGGTAGAATTTCAGCCTCTTCTTCCAATGGCAAAGACATCAAGTTGGCTACATCTGTCATGTCCACCTCTGATTCAGATGACTCAACAACATTTGATGGAAAGTGTGAATCCACAGGTTCCAGCAGCATTTCTGAATGTTTTGAGGCTCAGGGCATGTTTCACTTTTGCACTGTTTGTAATCTGTGGCTTTCATATGGTCTACGTGCTTATTCAGGACCATCGCACTTACCCGAACTTAAATATCACTGATCCTGACCTCACATCGACCATGTCTCGTACCCATATGGGGCTATTTCCATGATCCTTACACAAACTTTGTTCCCTGCATCCAACTGTCTCCCTCTCTTGGTGGAGTCTTGTGTACTGTGTTGGCGTTCCTGATGCCATTTCATCATCCTGGACCTGGGGGAAGCAGGAGATCAGACTTAACCTGGTGTGGAGTCTTCTATCTACTGGCAATTCTGTCAACGCTGTCCACGTTGTTGTATGTTCAGTAGTCTTATAATCAAATAAGAACCGTGACAGCTTGGTCTCCAGCAAGGCTGTAGGCTATTTCCTCAAGCCAGCCTTCAAAGTATGGACTGCTCTTTCTGCCATGCCATCTGATGATGGGTGGTATGGAGCTGTCCTTGTATGTTGAATCCCACTCAACTTTAAGAAAAAAAACCAAATTCCCCGCTGGTAAATGATAGGCAACACTTCTGGGACTCTGTGTGTTGAAAAAGATGTGTGCAGTTTTTCTATCGTCATTCTAGTATTTGGCGAATGGACTCTACACATGCCCACCCATCTTGAGTGAGCATCTACAATGACTAAGAACATTGAACCCATGAAAGGGCTCACATAGTTGATGTGCAATTGAGTCCAATGTTTACCCAGTCATTCTCACGGATATGGGGGAGCTGCTGACCTTGATGACAATCTGGGCACTGCCCTACCAATGCGACTATGTCTACATCCAAGCCTGGCCATCAGACATAACTCCTCACCAACATTTTCATTTTGGAGACTGCCTGCACGGCCCTGATAGAGTTCAGTCAGTATTTAATGATGATCTTTGCTCAGGACAATCACTCTTGTTTGCCATAACAATATGCTATTCTCTGACGTGAGCTTGTCTCTCTGGGTCCAAAAAGGTGTCGGATCTAGTTGTGAAAACTGTTTGGTTTCTCCCATCAATACCAGTCGTATCAGTTTTGAAAGGACTGGATCTTTCTGCTTCCAAAGTCTGATATTGTCAGCTGTGACTGGGAGCATGTCCAGAAAATTTAATACCACGGCAGACTTTACCACTGGGATACCACAGTGGTGCATCTGTTACTGGAAGGTGGGTCAATACATTCACATTTGCTACTCAGCCTTCCAGACGCTGTTCTAACTTGTAATATTACCTAATATTACAGTCCACCGCTGAATGCAGCCTGAAGCTATGGGCAGCATTGCCTTGTCCTCTTTCAGCAGACCAAGTAGAGGTTTGTGGTCTGTAATTATCATAAATTTCTGTCCATAAAGGTATTGGTGGAACTTCCTGACTCCAAATATGACCGCCAATCCTCCTTTTTCTATCTGGGTGTATTTAAGTCCTGGATGCATTATTGGACGTTCCTCTCCATTGGGCCACCTATGAATTAATACCACTACAATGCCTTATGGAAAGGCATCGCATGTCAATACCAGATCTTTCTTGGGATCATATTTGCCAACACCTTAAAGGATGATACTTCATTGAAAGCATATCTATGCGGCCATTTCCAAGGTCGACCCTTTTTAAGGAGTGGATGCACAGGTACCAGGATGGATGCCAGATTACGTACAAACTTTCCATAACAATTTACCAATCAAAGAAATGACAAATTGCTGGACAGTCGTGGGAGCCTGGGCACCTTTGGTCACCCTCACTTTACCTTCCAATGGGTGTAATCTAGTCTAGTTTACTCTCTAGCTCAAGCAGGTCACTTGGAAGGCCTGGAACACACACTTTTCCCTTCTTAGGCACATGCCTGCCTTGAAAAAATGCCTTAGGACAATATCCAAATTCTCTAAGTGTAGCTTATTTTCCCTGTTATTCAGACATCATCTGGGTAGATGGCAACCTGGAGATAGACCTTGCAAAATGTTCTCCATCATCTGTTGAACAGGCTGACAATACCCAAAATGGCAGTCTTGTATATTGGTATATGCCCTTATCATATTAATCATAGCATACTCTGGGAATTGTGGTCTAAATGCAATTCCAAGCAAGCGTGGCTCTTGTCCAACTTCATGAAGGACAATCACCCGCCCAGCTTTCTGTATAAATCCTTTATCTGTGGGACTGGGTATTTATACTTCCTGCTGCCTTGAGAAACCAACTAACATAATCAAAGACCTCTCCCACCCCAATTAAACTGTCTTCCATCCTCTTCCATTGGGTAGAAGATATAAAAGTTTGAATACATAAGAATATAAGAATATAAGAAATAGGAACAGGAGTAGGCCATTTGGCCCATCAAGCCTGCTCCACAATTCAATAAGATCATGGCTGACCTTTTTGTGGACTCAGCTCCACTTACCCGCCTGCTCAACATAACCCTGATTTTCTATACTGTTCAAATATCTATCTTTGCCTTAAAACCACTAAAAATATATATACAAACAGATTCAAGGACAGCTTCTTCCTTGCTGTTTTCAGACTTTTGAATGAAGCTCTCAAATGTTAATATTGATCTCTCCCTCTGCATCTTTTCTGTGGCTTTATTATTCTGTACTCTGATCTGCTACCTAGTGCACTTTGTATGGCGCAATCTGCCTGTAGAGCATGCAAAACAACACTTTCATTGTATCTTGGTACATTTGACCACAATAAATCAAATCAAATAGCCACCTGCGAAGAGCGATTTAGCATTTGTTTAAAATCCCCACAAAGGCTAACCAATCCATCAGGCTTCAAAATCTGTATGACCGGTGCTGCAAATGACACTGGGTGGGCCTTGTAGAATCATGGAAATACTTCCTGATCAAGATGCAATGTGGCCTTGGCTCCTCTGATGGTCGCTAGACCTTCCTGGAAGATTTCCAAGTATTTAATTAGGACTTCATTCATGCAGCCATTTTCTAATTGAAAAATGTTGAGCCAATCTAGGTGAATCTCTCAAAATCAATTTCGCCCCATTAAGCTTGGGTCAGAGCTTTTTACAACAGTCAACTGTAACTGAATCAGCTGCTTTTCGTAAGAGACATTCACTCCTTTTATATGTCTGCAAGGGCTCTAATTGGGCCAGGTTAACAGCCCCAATCAGGGGACTCTCATTCTATGAGATCCAGCTAGCTGACCTAGTTACAATCGCTGCAATCTCATGACAGAAATTTTCTCAAGAACTGAAAATTACAGCTGTAAGCAAAGATTGTATAGACAGGGATTGTTTTTGTTTGAACAAAGGAGGTTGAAGAGAGATTTGATTGAAATGTACAAATTTGAGGGTCCTGGATAGAATGGATGAAAATGCCGTAATTTCCCTGGCAGAGGGGACAGCAACTAGGGGGCACAGATTGGTAGAAGGATTGGAAAGTTACCCAGGGTTGATAGATGTCTGGAACTTACTACCTGAGTGGGTTGTGGTGACAGAAAGACTCATCTTGTTTGAAAGGTCTCTGAATATGCCACTGAAGTCCCTTAACCTCCAGGGACATGGACCAATTGCCCAATAATAGAACTAGGCTGGCTCAATTTGGCACAGGCACAATGGGCAAATTGGCCTTTTTCTGTGTCATAAATCTTTCTATACCTTTCAAATATTCAAAATTTCTGAAGAGGAGGAATGTTGAGGGATATGGAGGAAGGCTGGAGGAATGGAAATATATGAATCGCTCCTTGGGAAGGGAAGCATGGACACAAACAACTGAATGCCTTCTTCTGTGCTGTAATGGTTCCACAAGACTTTGAACAATTTAAATACACATTTCGACAATTTAGAAATGTAAGCAATTCAAAGTATGCACTTGAGTCCAAACTTTCTTTGAAGTTACAAACAACCTAACAATGAACCAAGAATAGTGGCAGTGGTACTATAAAGACTGCTGCTACTACCACCACTATCACCAAAAAAAAACCTATTACCACTTATCACCATGACGTGGAGGTGCCGTTGTTGGATTGGGGTGGACAAAGTCAGAAGTCACACAACATTAGCTTATAGTCCAACAGGTTTATGTGCAATCATAAGTTTTTGGAGGGTAGCTCCTTCATCAGGTGGACTATAACCTGGTGTTGCATGACTTCTGCAATTATCACCAGTGAGTGCAATCTCAAACCATCTTTTTTTAACATCTAAATTACTAGACATATGTATCAACAATGAAACTCAGAATCAAAATAGTAATAAATCAGTATAACTGGTATGGAAATCCTATGTTTGTTAAGTAGGTAAAATAAATCAAAAGTACTCTGGGGCTGATTTATACTTACCAAAGGTTCCCTGGATTCAATTTCAATGTAGGGAGAGTTGATGTCAGTCAAGTCAATAGACATGGCATTACAGTTCACCCCGGAGAGGAGGAGGGAGTAGACTCATCCTGCAATCTTGCTTAATATGCAAGTTCACACAGGAAAGTGCACGCATGTAGGTCTGAGAAAGAAATCAGGAGTCCTGGTGCTGCCCTTGGCCTGGGCCCCTGGCTTTGTTTCCCTCCCACCAACATGGAGCTGTAAATGAAACATTTCTTTATCTGAATGTGTAATTTTACGAACCTCCTCTTCCACATTTCCAATATATTTGCTTTTTTCCAAAAGTTGCTCTTGTATCTGCTCAAAATTATTTATCTGTTCAGTCATCCGAGTCTGCAACATTGAGATTGTAGCCTCAGCATCTAGTAATTGTGCCTGCAGCTTCTCAACTTCTACTTGTCTACATCGCTCCTCTTCTAAGCGCTGCTCCATGGACCTTCTGTCATCTGACAAATCATTAGAAATAGCAAAAGAAAGAATTATTTTCCAAACTAAATAAAGTTACAACGCCTGAAAGCTTACTTTTCAAAACAATGTCAACTGTGATACTTAGATTTGTGCTGAGGTAGTTGGTCTCAATCCTGCAGTAAATGAGAAATGAGACTCAATATGATATAGCTGGAGAGGAGCAGAAGGGCTGTGAATCACTATTTGATCATTTGTTACAACATGGAAGCAAATTATTTTTAGGAATTGAGCTTGCTGATGTGTCCCCTCAGAATTTAGATCAAAGAGTTTTCATTTCCTCCAGATTTTGCATTATCATAATGCTGACCTATGGCAACAGCTGACTGGCCACAAATAAGTGTTGTATATTTTCTAAGTATGATGGACTGCCACTTTAAAGAGTCTGATCATGGTGACAATGATCACATCATGACTCATTTTGGGTGGGAAACAGCTTTGACTAACCTTACAACCTGTAAACATTTCACAAATAAAGCTCCTGCTGCTTAACACTTTGGCTTCCTGGTCCTTATTGCAACTTCACAAGAAGAAAACTGGTGATGAGATGAAAGCAGATATAGACAGCCAAAAAAAAAACAACCCAGGGAACAGGTGAACAGTGCAGAAGATAGTTGCCATGTGCTCTGCTCTGAAGGAACAACCAGTAATGAGAAACCTACAAGGTGGAACTGTCTTGAGCTAAGGGTGTAGACTCGGAAAGAAGCAGGCAGCTTCAGGAATACCTTGTTTTAAACATGAAGTGAGGCAAGGCAAAATTTTTTGTGATGCATCATGCTGTGCAGTTCCTTCACATTTAAAATAAAAAGCAGGACATTTTAGCATTGTACGATGACAATATAGAGAACTGAAACTTTTATACACAGAAATTTCATTATTTTGTTCCAGCTAACAAAATTGTAGCATATATAGTTGTCTCTGTATTCTCAAGTATTCTGAAGGTGGGGGTTAAAGCAATGGAGGAGTCTGGACCAGCCACAGAAACCCAAAATATAAGAGAAACAGTGGCTATTCTATGGAACCATTTCCCTCCAAAACCATTGGTGATTGCTCAATGGTTCAGATTCCACAAAAGCAAGCAGCATGTTGGTGAATCTAACTCCCAGCTCATAGCAGTTTTCAAGAAATTAGCAGAATTCTGTCAATTCAGAGACAATATAAATAATGGTATCAGAGACTGACTGATGTGTGGTTTAAGATTTGAAGCAATCCAGATTATTGTTGGAAAGGAACCTAGACTTAAAGATAGCACTGAAAATAGCAGTCTCATTGGAACTAGCAGCCAAGAAAGCTCAACAGCTAAGCTCGAGCATGAGAGTTCATAAAATGGCGGCTGTGAGATGAGTGCCAAAGCAGACTCAAAACTGCCATCGGTGTGGAGAAACATATCATGCAGCAGCAAATTGCTGGAATAAAAAGGCTATATGCGGAAACCACAACAGAAAGAGTACACTGAACAGGTATGTTGGAGGAAGAAACATGAACAACATGCAGCAAAGTACGGAAATGAAAAAGTAGGAAGAAAATCTCCATGATAGAAGAAGGGCATGAAAACAGCTCAGACTCTCAGACCAAAGAGGAGCTGTTATTAAACACACTGGCCATTGCTAGCAACACCAACTGATATTGGGTCACTCCTTTACTAAATGGTAAACTGGTAAGAATGGAGGAGGACAGAGTGGTAGTTTTATTCATACCTAAAAAAGTGTGTATAAGAAGCAGCTGAGTCATACTACACTGCAACAATCAAATTTGTACTAAGAATGTACAGATGCAAAATGGTGTTTTTAAGGGGTTGTATCTGTGAATGTTCAGTTATTCGTCAGTCTGAAGATTTGTCCTTATGCATTGCCAAAGGACATTTTCTAGCTTTATTGAGAAGGTCATGGCTGGATAAAATCAAACTCAACCGGGGTAAAGTAAATCGCTCATCAGGTACCGAGACTAAGCGATCATAAATTCTAAAGAAATATGCAACTGTTTCAGAGGAGATCTAGAAAGCAAGGAAAAGATCGCCATCAAATTGAAAATCAAGCAAAATCTTGCAAGGCGAGATCAGTGACTTATGCAATCAAATCAAAGGTCAAGGCAGAATTAGAGAGGTTGGTCAAGATGGGAGTCCTTGAACCAGTAAACTTGAGTGATTGGGCCACATCCTTGTGCCAATGATGAAGGAAGATGGCTTGGTACACGTGTGGCAATTTTAAGGTTGCTGTTAATCCAGCATTGTGTGCTGAATAGGACCCTTTGCCTTTAATCAATGGCTATTTATCAGACTAGCTGGAGGTCAGTTATACAGTAAACATTTACCTTAGTCAAGCCTAACTCCAGATGAATGTAGGTCCAGAATCATTAAAATACTTGATGATTGTAACACAAAAGACTATTCAAATACAAGAGACTTCCATTTGGAATAACATCCGCACTTATGTTATTTCAACGCGCTGTCATCACATTTTAAGTGGATTGGAAGGAGTTCAGGGTTATCTAGATGATATTTTAGTCACAGGGAGAAATGAAAAAAGGCATCACCACAATTTATATGCTACTCTGAAGAAACTCCAAGATTACAACGTAAAATTGAGAAAAGACAAATGTGGTATTTTTACATCTCTCAACAAATAATTAGGCCATATCATTGATGCTAAGTGACTAATAGGTCATCTTCAAAACCTATTTTGAAGGTTTTAAACATTACAACCAACTATGATCATTTTTGGGCTTGCTAAATTACTATGGCAGGTTTGTCCCAATGTCTTGCAACCATTCATGCTGTATACATAATAAATTATGGTAAAACAAGAATTGGAAATGGGAAGACGAATGTGAAAGAGCTTTTACACAAGGTGAAGCTTTATTAAAGTCAGAGGTCATGATCAATTTTGACCCAAAGTTACCATTGCACTAAATACACAAAGCATTACCATATGGAGTGGGAGCACTTATTTCTAACATATTACCCAATTGTGAAGAGAAGCCAACAGTTTTCACATTAACGTCATTAAACAATGCAGAAAAAAGATAGATAAAGAAGCTCAAGGAACCATACTTGACATTAGTCAATTCCATCAATAACTGTATGGCTGGGAACTTTCCCTATCAACAGAAAACAGGCCTCAATATTTGGGAAAAACTGAAAGAACTGCGGATGCTGTAAACCAGGAACAAAAACAAAGTTGCTGGAAAAGCTCAGCAGGTCTGGCAGTATCTGTGAAGGAAAAAACAGAGTTAACGTTTTGGGTCCTGTGACTCAATCCTCAGATCCAATCTCTCTTCTTGCCCACCAACTTTAATTTCACTGTCACTCCTGGTGTTTGACCAAGTGTTTGCTAAAACTCATTTCCACAGCCGTATCAAATTCCTCAGTGACTGCCTCCGTTCTGAGGAAGGGTCACCGGACCCGAAACATTAACTCTGTTTTTCCCTTCGCAGATACTGCCAGACCTGCTGAGCTTTTCCAGCAACTTTGCTTTTGTTCTCAATATTTGGGCTTCATACAGGGATATCTTCTATAGCAGCAAGCTGTATGCAGAGGTGGGCATTGTTATCAGCTCGCACAATTAAATATCAGCAATCCAACTTACATGGGAATACTAATGGGCTCTTTACATGACATTTGCCAAATGAGTCAACTACAAACAGTCTTTCTGTAGACATTTTCTACTTTGAATAGAGTAGCAGTCTGGTAACAGCAGGGCAAGCTCAGAAATACACTAGAAATGATCCAATACGATCAAAAGTACTTGGTACTTTGTGGCAAGATCACAGGAACAACTCAGGACTGAAGTCATGCATAACATGGAAGCTGGAACTACCTGTACAAGGAGGATGTCTCCAATGAGGAATGAGATCATCATTCCACCACAGCTAAGGAAATGTGTGAAATCAACCACCAAAGGTCACTGTAGCATTGTCAGAATGAAGGTAATAACAGAAGTTTGTTTTGTGGCCAGGCCTCAACTCTAACATTGAGGAGCAGGCAGGAATGTTTGTAAATTGCGCAACACCTTGCAAACTACCTTCAACAGTACTATCACAGACTTTGGAATGACAAGAAAGGCAATGGAAAAGAGTCTAAATTGACTGCACCAGGCCTTTTGAAGGACAAATGCTTTTAATAGTCATTTTACACAGATACTAAATGGCCTGATGTTGCCATCACAAAGATGGCATCTTCAGAGAAAACCATTAAAAGACTGAGGGTAATCTGAGAGAGATTTTGTTATGCAGAATAGCTTGTTAGTGATAATGGTCCACGGGTTTATATTACAGGAACTTATGGACTATCTAAAGAAGAAATGAATTCAACATATCCAATCATCTCTTTACCATTGAGCTACAAATGGCTTGGCAGAAAGGTTTGTTTAGATAATGAAACATCCTAAAGGCAGACATATCGGAACACAACCCACTTGACAATACAATGCTCATGCTAAAGCGTCAGTTGCTATGGCATTCAATTTGCCGAAACCACATATGATAAAAGACACTTGACTGGAAACATCAGAATCAGGTTTTCCAACAAGAGAACAAGGCCAAACACCATATTTTCCAAAAAGGTCAAGAAGCGTTGGTGAGGATTTAAACCACTGGCAAGAAGTTAGTAACAGCCATCAGTGAAGCACAGACTGGACCGGTTTCCTGTACCATACAGATGTAATTTGGAGAAGATATGCAGATCAAAACTTGGCATCCAGAATCAATGTGCCAGGAACAACATTAATAGAAGAACCACAAATAACTGTGCCAAATAGAGATTTGGACAGAATAGTCACTGAAGAGTCTGAGGGAGACAGTACCTCAGTGGAGAATACCACGATATTGTGTGAGCCTCTGAACATTCAGTCATCTCAGAAAAATACAATGACAGATGATGTTCCTAGTATAACTAAAACACCAGACGTTAAAGCCAACAAGAAAAATAAACAGACACCTGAGGCGGGTGAACAGTCACACGTGAATCAATGACCTCCAGGAAGTCTTACCGACTGACTGTTTTATATATAAAATTGCAAATGTTTTAATTGCGGGAAGCTCTGACGTAAAGGGAGAGGGATGTTCTGCATTTGTGCAAGTATGGTGGATTGTCACTTTAAGCGTGGTCACTTGTTAATGATGACATTCTCAGCCATTTTGAGGCGAAAACAGCTTAGTTTAACTTTGCTGCCTATGGAGTAAACATCTCCATAATTAAACTCCTGCTGTTTAATGCTTCAGCCTCCTGGTCCTACTTGAAACTTAACAAATAAAACATCTGATTATCATATTTTATGCAGCTGAATTGATCAGTACTGCTAAATTAGTGTTGAGAGTTTGTGTTGATGTAAAGTCCCATTGTCAAGATTAAGGCGAATGCTGTGGTGTTGTCTCTTTATCCTGAATTCTTAGAAATGAGGACATGTTCTAACTCTCCAACTATTAATCCCTCATTGTTAATTTTCATTTTCACCAACAAGAATCTAGACCATTGTAGCAACAGAACTCAAAGACATTTTTCCTTCAGTGAGATACAAAACAAACCTTCCCTATGAGGGGCAGGTAAAGACTAAATAGTTATTTTTTTTCTATACATCTAAAATTCTCATCAATATGTTCAGTATATAATTGTTTCAAATTTGGTTTTAAATGTAAAATTAATCTTTACTAAAAAGAAAGAAAAACCCCCTTTAATCCAACCAGTCTCTTTCTCCCTATTTGCCGCTTTTCCTTCAGTCCCTTCCTAGAGAAATACACTTCAATCAATCGCTATTATAGTTTAAACCGGGATGAAATAGTCAATAGCCAATCTGTTACTTATAAAAGGATAAAAGACAATATCTATATTTTAAAAAATATTTTCACAGCACTTCTAACAAAACCAAAAAAGTTAAGATCTTTACTACCATACTGTGAACAAATTGGTAATTTCACTTTTATTCTCTTCTCCATATCTACAAATAATGACTTACCTTTCTTATTTCTGTCTGAGATTAGTTCTGGACTTGCACTATCCAACAAATCACAACTTTTACCCAAAACGTCACCACATTCTTGTGTTGAAAATTTGCTGTTCATCAGGCTTGACTTCAACTTCTGAATTTCATCATCTTTCATGGCTAGTTTAATGCTAAAGGAGAAGAATTTTAGTCCAAAGCCAGAAACTAAGACAATGAAAAAGATAAAAATTCCCTGACACCTCTAAACTTGCATGGCATAAATCACATTTTGTAATACATTACAAAATACTATTCAGTAAATTATATACAAATTTTTAAAAGACCATATGGTAGTCACATGATTAATATCAGAGTATGTGGAGTTTGGAGATAAGACATCTGAATGTCAAGCAAACTAGCAAGTAGGAATAGAAATATTTAAAGGTAGTTATTCAGTCTTGCAAAGTGTGGAAAACTGGGGTTCCACAAGGATCTGTGGCAGAACCATTATTGTCCACAATTTTTACAAAATGATCTAGACTTGGGGAAACAAACGCAAATTATCAAATAGTGCAGTCCACACCAAACCGGAGGATACCATTCATACTGAGGAAAGTACAAACGAGCTTACTGAATGGGCATGTAAATGGGAAATGATAAAGAAGGATAAAGATGCTGCCTACTCATTGGAAAGCAAGTCTTAACGGGTTAGAATTGCCAAGGGTCCAGAAATAGAAACACATATTAAAGCTAGCAATGCAGATTAACAAAATGATTAAAAGTGCAAAACAAAAACCCCATGAATTAGTTTCTAAAACAACAGAAACAAAGAAGTTGCATTCAGTACACATAACATTGATGAGGGCACAATTAGTGTCTTGTGCACTGCTCTGATTTTCATATTACTAAATGGCTGTAGCAACGCCAGAGAATATCACTGAGAAGGTACACCCATCGGGAAAGACTGAGCAGAATTGAGCTCTCTCCCCAGGGAAAAAAGGATGGAGATGTGACCCACAAGGTTTTTAAAGCTATTGTTTCATCAACGAGAAGTTGTAGGCATCATGTGTTATCTAGCAGCACCAAGTCTCTAAGGAATCTCCTTAATTCAGTTTCTGCTGGGTCCTCAAATAAATATGGCTTACAGATAAATTTTAGAGGAGAGGCAAGAGTGGTTGGATTTGATATGATATTGCACCAAGGAATATCTTATAGTCTTATCTTGCTTTACCATCATCAAATACCTTAGGATAAACGTTTTGAGAATTATTGTGAACAAAAACAATCGGACTAGCCACATAAATACTGTGGCTATAAGAGCATATCAGAGATTTTGTGGTGAATGACTCCCCAAAGCTTTTTCATGATCTACAGGATCGTAATGGAATACTGTCCATTTGCCTGCATGAGTCTAGCTCACAAAGCATTGAAAGAGCTGAACAACATTCTCAACAAAACAAATCGTTCACCTGTACTACATTTACCCTGCTGCTACTGATGTACACTTGATGCAGTATTTACCATCTACAAGATACATCACAGTACCTGCCTTGGCATCTCTGACAGCTTAATAAAGCTATCTAAACAAGGCACATGGAAAAATCAATAGCTCCAAATTCCTGTCCAAGTTACACACCATCTTGACTAGAACTTATATTGTAGCTTCTTCGTTGACACTGGAAGTTTTATTATTTTAACCCAAATGATACTATAGCAGCAACTTTACCATGTGACTTGCAACAGTTCAAAAAGACACTTTACCCTTAGCTTCTCCAGGAAGAGAGAGCTGGGTAATAAATGTCATCTTTGCCACTGAAACCGACATCCCATGAACGAGTACACACTAAAAATGATTCAGTTGGTTGGAGTTGATAGCTGCGAAATTCAGCTCCATATGGTTTCAGCACTACAGAAGGCCCAAAAAATGATGAAAACTGAATGGTAGGTTTCCTGTACAGCCTGCACTGATCATTACATTATGAAAAATGATAACACAGGTCAGAAGAATGCAAAGTTGGTAGTTCATGATGTTAGTCACATTGCGATGCTAATTTGGCATCTAACTAGGAGATGCAGCTCTACCTGTCCCCATTGGCAGAGAAACAAGCCGCCACCTTCCAGCGTAGAGTTAGATGCTTAGAAGGGAATGAAAACAATCTAAGCCCTGCTGTGGTGCACAACCTCTGGGGAATTCATAAGGGACGTAAATAGGTAAAATGAGAAACCTTGATACTTGTCACCTTGCCTTTATCAGTTCTACCAGAAAGTCAACAGTTCCACCATTAAAACAAATGTAAATTATTTTGCTGGTGAACTTTTCTGAAATAAATGTAAAATTAGATAATAGTGTAGTTACTTGCACTATATTTCTATGACCTGAGATATTTTTAAATTGGAATGGGAACTGTAGACTTTTTTTTCCAGCAGAAGTGATAATTTTACAACACAAACAGAAGTTGCTGGAAAAGCTCAGCAGGTCTGGCAGCACCTATAAAGAAAAAAATCAGAGTTAACGTTTCAGGTCTGGTGACCCTTCCTCAAAACTCTGGTTTCGGTTTTTATTTGATAATTTTACATATTACTCTAGTCTCAGGTTTTACATCACATTTAACATTTAATTATTTAATATAGACAGAATTCTCCAAATTGCAGCAACAAATCTGTTAGAGAGGTAGTGAAAGACAGTGGATTTTAAAAAAATAAACCTGTTCAGGCACACATCTGGAGCAGGTGAGACTTGAACCTGTGCCAGATGTAGGGATTAGTATTTTTTCCTGAATCAACCTGTTTATTATACAGTCCTGGAGAAGGTGAGACTTGAACCCAGGTCTCCTGGCTTAGCGCTAAGTACACTACCACTGTACTACAAGAGTTCTTATGCCTTTGAAGAATTGTATATCTGATCACCAATTTTCAGCTGTGATCTTTCAAATCAGTATGGACTTTGCTTGTCCACACTCCAAGATAATACAACAGGAAGATCAAGATGGAAGGGGAGCTCCAGCTGCAAGAAGACCAGCAGCAGGAGCATCCATCATCCATTACAACTGTAGCATTCTGTTTATCAGCCAATGGAGGACACCAGTACGCTTCCAAAGTTTCAGCAAGGCCACTTGGCTCTAAAGCACATTGCAGTCTTGATTCAAACACGCACAAAAGTGTTGAATTTAAAGGCAACGTGAGCGTAACTGATGGGACGTCAAGGTAGCTGTTGATCAAATGAGGAATCAAGGAATGCTAGTAAAAGTGGAATTAATTGGAATTTTGGGGAAGACATTTCACCAATTGAGCTCATCTTGTAAAGGATTATTCAGATGGTATCCAATAGCTGTCATTTTCAGCTGCTCACAAATGACTATCCCTCTAACATAAGTTCAGAGATGAGGGCATTCGACAAATATTGCACTGTGTTCAGTACAATTGTGACATTTTAGATATTGCAATTGTCTGTGCTTGCACGTAGCAAGATGACTGCAGTGAAACTGGCTGATAAGTGGCAAGTAACATACACATCGTGCAAGTGTCAGGCAATAACCATTTACAACAAGAAAAGAACTTCCCTTCACACTCCAGTACATTACCATCACTGAATCCCTTATCGGCATTCTGGGATTTACCATTGACCAGAACTTAAATGGATCAGCTCATAAATGTAATGGCTATAAGAACGGGTCAGAGACTGGGTATTCTTCAGTGAGTAATTCGGAATCACACAATTGTTACAGCACAGAAGGATGCCATTCAGCCTATAATGTCTGCGCTGGCTGTCCAACAATCATTATGACTTGGTATCAGTCTCCTGCCTTTTTCCATAACCTTGCACATTTGTTCATATTCAAATAATCCTCTAATGCCTTCTGGAATGTCACATAGACTGTCTCACCACACATGCAGGCACTGCGTTCCAGACCTGAACCACTCATTTTATGAAAAAGTTATTTCTCATATCACGTTTATGTTTGCAAATAACTTTAAATCTGTACCCAGATTTTTTTTCGATCCATTTGCTAGCAGGAGCAGTTTATTCCAAATTACTCCACCTAGATCTCTCTTTATTTTAGAAACTTCTATCACATTTCCTCTCAGCTGCCTTCTCCCCAAGTAGAACGGTCCCATCTTCTCCAACCTGTCCTTATAATTTAAGTTACTCATCTCTGTCAATTTTGTTAATCTGTGCTGACCTCTGTCCACTGTGTTTGAATCCTTTCTACAGTGTGGCAACCAGAATTGCACACAACATACCAGGTATCTTGTACAACTTCTGCACAACCCCTTCCTCTTATACCCTGTACCCTTATTAAATTCATGATAGTGCTCTCTTCACTTGATCTGCCGCATTCAGTGGTCTATGCACATAAAAATCCAGGTCCACCTGCTTCTGCACTGCTTAAGCATTATACCCCTATTTTATTTTGTCTGTCCATGTTCATCCTCCCAAAAGCATCACCTCACACTTCTCCATATTGACTTTCTTCTGCCACCTATCTGCCCACTTAAGCTATCTTGTCTGTTTCTTTTCAGATTTCTACACCATCCTCACAATTTACAATGCTTTCATTTATATAAAAATAAGTTTAATAATGCTTAAGTATATAAGGAAAGTAGGAAAGAATTAAACAAGGAATTAGAAGGCCTAAAAAGGGTCACGAAAACTGTTTGCAAACAGGATTAAGGAGAATCCCAAGGCTTTTTATATAAAGAGCAAGAGGGTAGCAGGGAAAGGGTAGGCCTACTCAAGGACAAAGGAGGAAATCTGTGTGGAGCCAGATGAGGTAGGTGAGGTCCTAAACGAATACTTTGTTTCAGTATTTACCAACGAGAAGGAATTGGTGGAGATGATCTCAGGGAAGGGAGTGTCCAATTTTCTAAGCCAAGTTGCTTTTGAAAAATCAAGAGCAGTTGTGTGTATTAAAAAGTATTAAAGTAGACAAGTTCTCAGGTCTTGATGGGATCAATGCCAGAATATTGAGGGAGGCAAGAGAACAAACTGATGGAGCATTGACAGACATCTTTATATCCTCTTTGGCCACAGCTGAGGTCTCAGAAGACTGGAGAATAGCCAATATAGTCCCATTGTTTAAGAAGGATAACTGTGATAATCCTGGAAATTACAGGCCTATGACTCTCACGTCAGTGGTAGGGAAATTATTGGTAAAGATTCTCAGGGACAAGATCTATATGCATTCAGAAA